GATGCCCCGAGCGGCGGCGCCGCGGTTGCGAGGATGTCCCGAGCGGCGGCGCCATCCCGCCCCCCCGCCCCTCCCCCTCCAGGGCAGTGTGCTATCTGCTTGGTGTGCGCCTGTGGGGAGGCGGCGGCGCCGCGGTCGTGAGGATGTCTCGAGCGGCGGCGCCGCGGTTGTGAGGATGTGTCGAACGGCGGCGCCGCGGTTGTGAGGATGTCTCGAGCGGCGGCGCCGCGGTTGTGAGGATGTCTCGAGCGGCAGCCCAGCATTTTTCGTGTTTGGCGACGTTTCAAAAGACGATGGCGATGCTGATTGCGGTGCGGGCGATGACGATTGCGATGGCGACGCCTGCGATGCCGAATATTGCAATGCCCCCCCCCTCTCACCCCCGGCACCCGCATGTGCTATCTGCCTGGCGGGGGGCATCTTGGTCCGTAGCGGGGCCATCCTGGCCCCCTAGGAGCCATCTGGAGCCATCTGGGTCCATCTTGGAGGCATATATTTGGGTCATCTTGGCAGCCCCGTGGCTCCACAGGGCCGCCCGCGCGCCCTGGGAGGGGGGGGGCGCACAGAAACCCTGCCAGACAGCACGTGTGATTCTGACACGCCTCGACGCGCGAGGAGACGCGCCCGTCAGGGGTACAGGCCTCTGTGATGCGGCCTTCGTGCACAGACGGGCCTATATAGCTGTTTGACGCTGCGACGGGGCGCGGCTCGACGTCGGGGGCCCGAACAAACCTTCATCCACCCACTCCTCCTCATCCCTCGTCCTGTACCTAATAAACACCCCTGCCCTCCTCCCCAAATCTCCTTCTCCCTCCGTCTCCCCCTTCCATGCTCGCCCCCTCCCTGTTGTCGGCGCCTCTCCTGGGCCCAAGGGGGCCCAGGAGGGCCCAGGCGTGTGCTATCTGTCTGGCCCGCTCCCCTCCTCCTCCTCCTCTTCCTCCTCTCTCTCTCCCTCCTCCTCCTCCTCCTCCTCCTCCTCCTCGCCCTCATCCACCCCCCGGTTGTGAGGATGTCCCGAGCGGCGGCGCCGCGGTTGCGAGGATGCCCCGAGCGGCGGCGCCGCGGTTGCGAGGATGTCCCGAGCGGCGGCTCCGCGATTGCGAAGATGTCTCGAGCGGCGGCGCCGCGGTTGCGAGGATGTCTCGAGCGGCGGCGCCGCGGTTGCGAAGATGTCTCGAGCGGCGGCGCCGCGGTTGTGAGGATGTCTCGCGCGGCGGCGCCGCGGTTGTGAGGATGTCTCGAGCGGCGGCGCCATACCTTCCCCCGCCTTGCCTCCTCTTGAGCGCGTGCCATATGAAATTTCCCCTCTGTGCTGTCCCTCTGGACTGTCCTCGGGTGAGGACACGCGCTCTATCTGATATGCACAGGTTCGGGGGTCTGGGGGTCATTGTTGTGCCACGTCGTTGTTGCACGCCAACTGACCGTTAGGGAGTATAGTCTTAAAACCGCAACAACCTATGACTCCGAATTCTGGGACGCACTGGCCGTTGTTCTGTGTGCATGCGTATAATAAGAACTATGCACTCGGTCTGATGCCCATGCTGTTCTAGTTGGTAATTCAGGACACTGGAGTCTCCTTCCTTCCTCCCCTCGTCCGCCACCTCCAGATAGGATGCATTTCAGCGAGGGTGGATGCCCTAGGGGAGCGGTTGCGAATGCTCTCGAATGGCTTGGGATACGTTTCGGTTTGCTATTTGCAGAGGTTCGTCCAGCACGCGGCCAGAGAGTCCTTCCCTTTGCGGGTGGGCAGGTCCCGCTGATACTCGGCTCGTACTTGCTGTTCCTCCTATTCGTTGCCTTCGTCTGGTACGCGGCGTGGAGACTGTGCCTCTGCAAGGCGCCCAAGCCCAGCGGCCACCACTCGGTCCCCACGCTGGTCTCCATCCCACGGTCTGGTCTCCCGAGACCAAGTTTGGGAGCTCCAGCTCGTCGGATCTTGCGGTCCCATCCAAGGCGATTCCATTTCTCAAGAGAGGCGGCTACGGAAGCTACAAGCAAGCCGAGGGCAAGCTGAACACTAGGACGCCGCTATAGCATCTAAGGCTAACATATTTGCAGTGTACACGCCACCGGCAGGCGCCTCAACGACAGTCTAGATTCTAGATGCAAGTTGCAGGAGCAAGATACAAGGCAACCGAGCGACCGAGCTGTATTCAAATATCACGGCCACATTGAGGTGAAGCCAATCTACGAGCATTCCAACTGCATAACCTAGACTCATATTCGGAAACACGTCGGGGGTGAGCTTTCATGCAGGCCGATCGTGTCCAGCACGAGTTCATGCAACCTTTAGCTACCCGGAATGCAACCGAAGCGTCTGCCAGAAGCCGGTTGGGACCGATCTCAAGGAGCCGTGCATTGCATGTGCCAGATAATCAGGAATTAATCGAACAGAACGCCAAGCGCATGCGTAATACATGTTAGTTAACGGCGCATATTGATTGGGGGGAGGGGCAATGGCGTGTTACATTTGGTTATCGACGGGCATGCACAACGCAACCGACACGCGAACGATGCGCAGGCTCAAGGCACGCTAATTGTTCGTTAGAGCCGTTTCAATTGCACCCTTGGTAACGGCATGTTTCGATCAAGTGCACCTCAGAACAATTGCCAGCAATTTGAATTGCGTTCGAGAAGCCCCCACGAGAAACACAACCACAAGCTACCATGCGGCGAGCAACGAAATGGTTTCACGCGTGAGAGCCTCGGTGGTAATGGTATCCATCTGTCTACCTTTTGGTGTTGCTGCATAGCTCTGCTGTGATGCATGACTAGTTGGAGCCATTCCAACTTCGCTGTAATGAGCTTCCAAAGTGTCAATGTTGAGGACTGGTGGGGTGTTCTCCACGTGTGGACGGCGTTGGAGGTAGACGTCCAGACAGGAATCTTGCCCACGCAGCGCCCGCGCATGGCTGCTGCACGAATACGTGAAGGCTAGTATGCAACGGTGGTCGCGTCATGATGCCAACGGACTCATGCGGTTTGTTTGCTCTCCCCTCCGTCCACATCCGCGTCTTGTTCGTCCTCTCGTTCTGGACCGTCGAGCAATGAAGCATCTTGGTACAGTGTCTTTCTGTCCATTCGCGCTTCTACATCATCCGTTCTTTCTGCTCCTCGATCCTCCCTCTGCAGCCCCTCTGGAACTGGCTGCCCCGCGCTGGCTGGGTGAGTGGATTGGCCCCCGAGGATGAGTGAGGAGGACTAGGCGGAGGAGGAGGCGGAGGAGGAGGAGGAGCAGGACGGGGACGAGGACGAGGAGGATGAGGAACATGACGTAGGTTAAACGACTCGTACATATTGCACGACATGGACGTGTGTGTGTGTGTGTGTGTGTGTCCCACCGTTTTGAACGTAGGTCGCTGCGTAGACACTTTATGTATACGCGTCCTCCCCAAACAGTGCTGGCACTCAGGGGGTCTTCCTTATCGTACCTGAGGAATTGGACGGGTCTGCCGAGGTTTCATCTGGTGCCCGTTCGGTGGCTGGTCGTGCGCGGTGCGCCCCGTGCTGGGCGGGTGGCCAGGGTTCCGCCTGGTGCTCGGTTGGTGGCCGCCAGCGGGCGCTTCGTGGATCCCCCGTGCGATGGGTGGGTCCGCCGTGGTTTCGTGTGCTGCCTGTCCGTGGGCGCCGCGTTGGCGGCCGCATACGGTGCAGTACACGCGGTGCAAGAAACGTGGTGTAAGCTGATGTGTGGTGTAAGCTATGTGGCGAAAGCTACACTGCAAAAGCTACGTGCTACAAGCTCTGTGGTACAAGCTAAGCGGTGCAAGCTATACGGCCGCCCAGCGCACGAGGCGCCCACGAGGCGCCCAAGCTGTGCACTTGGCGAAACCTCGGCACACTCGACCAGCGCACGAGGCGCCCGCGGGCGGCCACGGGCGGGATCCGAAACCTCGGCGCACCCACCCAGTGGACGAGGAGCTCGCGAGATGCCCCTGGGCGGCCACAGGCAGGCACCGTGCAAAACCTCGGCACACCCACCCAGCGCACGAGGCGCCCACGGGCGGCCACGGGCGGGCGTTGGGCGAAGCCTCGGCACACCAACCGAACACGAGGCGCCCATGAGACGGCTTTGGGCGCCCACCAACCAGGCAACAGGCGAAACTTCGGCCTACCCATCCAATCCGTTCTCGGCAAGCTACGGAGACCCCGTAGTGCAAGCACTATTTTGGAGACGTCGTTTGCACCGCATGGCTTGTACCACATCTATGGCAATGTATCGATCGAAGACGCCTACGGCGAATCACTGCCGCCCCCTGCCTTTGTGGCTAATCATTTGGGCCAAGTTTGGCCACGCTATTTGACCATGCGTTTCCCCAAATGTTGTGGAAGCCCTTCGGTGAACACGTGGGGAGGAAGGTGGGGATGAAGAGATGGATGAGGAGATATCTTGGGACCTTCTTGGGTCATTATTGGGGCCTCCTGGGAGCCTCCTGGGATCCTTTCGGAGGCCTCTTTGGGGGGCCTCCTTGGGCCTCTTGGGGCCTTTGAGGGCGTTGTGGGGCCTCTTTGGCCCCCTTACGGCGTTCCCGGCCCGTCTCACGCCGTCGGAATCCGTCTTGGGAGCTTCTTTGGGTCGTCTTGGGGCCCTCACGGAGCGCTCCAGGGTCGGTTTGAAAGTAATATTAGGCGTCTTGGAGGCCTCGTGGGCCGTCTTGGGGCCCTTGAGGGGCCGTGTTGGGAGCCTCTTGAGCCGTCTTGGGGCCATCTTGAAGACCTTTTGGGCGATCTTGGGACAATCTTGGGGGTCTCTTGGGCCGTCTTGGGTCGTCGGAAAGCCGAAACAAAGCGAATACTAACATCCTTCAAAAACGCTGGGAACACACACTTACTGTTGCCTCCTTGGGCCGTCCTGGAGCCTTTTTGGGAGGCCTCTTGGGCCGTCCTTGAGGCCTCTCGGAGGCCTCGTGGGCCGTCTTGGGCCATCTTGAGGCCATCTTTGGCCGTCTGGGTGCATCTGAGCCTTTTCCTGCTGAATGGCCGACTCCACCTCGGCCATCAGGTTGCCCATCTCCGCGTTGAACTAGGCTCTGGTGATCGCCTCGTTCGCGTTCGTGTACCGCGGGTCCCCGTCGCTCGACGCAGTTCTGGAAGGAGGGTGCTTCGGCCGCGGGCGAACGCCCGCCGACGCGTTCGGAGGTGGCTTCGGCGGAGGCCCGGCGGGGGCCGCCGGTGACCTGACAGCCATGGCCTTCGAGCGGGTCTGGCAGAACCGGTTCTCGCGGGATTGTGGCGGCTCGTAAGGCATCTCATTCTTGACTTGTTCGATGGTCTTCTCGATCTTCCGGCGGCCCCTCCTGGCTTGATTTAGGGCGGATTTAGGTTGAGTCGGTTGAGTGTTTTTGTGTTTTGATGCCGACGACGATTGTAATGATGGTGGTTATCAAATCGTAGTGCTGATGGTGGTGGCGATGGTGATGGTGATGATGGTGGTGCTCATCACATCCAGAATCACCATCATCACCATCACCATCATGACCATCACAACCGCCCGCACCATACCATCATCACCATCCCCATCGTCATCATCATCATCACCATCATCACCATCCATACCATCAGTATCGCCATCACCATCGTCATCATCATCATCATCATCATCAGTAGGACTTGGCTCAAGCGGACGGCGGACGACGACATTATTAAATAATGTCGTCGTCCGCTGGGGCGGTTTCCCCGAGCCCTCCAGCCTCGTCGCCCCGTCTTTTTTCGAGGGCAGCTTCGCCGAGCCATGCTTCTTCTTCGAGGGCAGCTGCTTCGCCGAGCCCTGCGTCTTCTTCTTCGAGGGCAGCTTCGCCGAGCCCTGCTTCTTCTTCGAGGGCAGCAGCTTCGCCGAGTTCGAGTCCGAGCCCTGCGGCCGCGTCGAGGGCAGCTTCGCCAAGCCGTGGCAGCTGCAACAGCTCGGACGAAGAATCGGCCGTGGCAGTTGCAACAACTGCCGTGGCCGCTGCCGACGCAGCGGGCTCCGAAGAGGACAGCGGCTCCAACAGCGGCTCCGAAGAGGACAGCGGTTCCGAAGAGGACAGCGCCCCGAGCAAAGTAGTCGAGAAGTTCTCGCCTTCGTTGTCCATGACCCTGGAGGAGCACGTCGCCAGTCACGACTACCCAAAGCACGTCTCCACCTGCGGCGCTGGCAAATTTTGGAAGAACAAGGATAAATGGAGCTCCTCGATGTCTGCGACGAATCCAGTAACACTGAAGAGTGAAACTTGGATAGGCTGCGTTGGTGGTAGATTTGCAGTCTGCTTGTTCTGCTCGGCGTTCAAGGGCGCTCGCTGCTATTCCACCATCGGCCAGGGACCCGCGAGTTTCCAACGCAAGGAAAACCTCGTGCGCCATGCACAGTGCGAGGAGCACCAGGCAGCAGAAGCGGCGTGGAAAGAGCGGTTTCGAGCGGAAGGTGCGCGCCAGGGTCTCCCCGTGTCTGCGTTCTCCACAACGGCTGCATCAGTTGCAGCAGCTTCAACAGCCGTGGCGCTTGCGCCCGCCGTCGTCCGCAACGCCGACCAGCGCCCTGGTTGCCGCGCAGCGGTCGCCACCCGTGCAATGTTGGAGACAACCAGTTCCTTCAGTTGATTCGACGCGTGGCGGGATGCGTTCGTTGGGGGCGACCGCCAAGTTTTGGAGTCTAGTCGGCAGCGCCGAAGGCTGGTGACCGCCATGGCTCAGCACGAGAAAATCATCACGCAGAGAATCCTCAAACATTTTTTTTTTTTTTGTTTTCCTCTCCTTCCCCCTCGTTTGGCTGCGGACGGCCTCGACCGCGCGTGCCAGGTCGAAATAGGCACCGCGCTGTGGTCGATCCCGAAGGCTGTGGACTTCCTCCCAAGCTACGGT